TGTTTACATAGTCATAGCACAAACTATTCTGTGGCTCTTGAAAAATCTGTCAAAATGCTCAAAAAACTCTGGCAGTATGGGACTCTGTTCTGAAAATGGCTGCCAGTCAATGAGTTAAATGACGCGCTAATTCATTTTGCTTCATGCTGACACACCAAAAACACCTTTCCTCTTTCCTCTCCTCCATCTGTAGTCATAGTGAAACCAGGCGCTAAATACGCTTCGTTGTATTTCCTTGTCTTAGCTTTCTGGTGACTTTCTTTTGTCTCGTTATCTTTGTCTCTCTCTTTTCTTTAGAAACTTTTCCATGTTGGGGGTTGTTACGTTGAATAACGGAGGCTGTAGACGGAACGCAGTCGGAGCTTTTTCTGCTGACTCAACTATGCTAACCGAGGCTAACCTGTCGTCTTATAAGTCGTAAAATGTCGCAAACGAAAAATGACCCCACTATTTGAGAAGCACTGGTCTACACGCGTTTGTAGATGGACTCAAAGTTGATCTGAAAGAGCCCGTTTCCACCGGAATACGTCCTGCGAGATGAGAAATGCTATCAGATCTGATCTGTCTTGACGGAAGCTTTCGGATTCCCTGTTCGACATACAGTGGGGGAAATAAGTATTTGAGCCCTTGCTGATTTTGCAGGTTTGCCCACTTACAAAGAATGCAACGATCTATAACTTTAATCATATCTACATTCTAACAGTGAAAGACAGAATCCCAAAGAAAATTCCAGAAAATCACATCATATGAATTTATAAAAAATTGATAACCATGTGATGAGGAAAAATAAGCATTCTTTGTAAGTGGGCAAACCTGCAAAATCAGCAAGGGGTCAAATACTTATTTCCCCCACTGTAGAAGCTGTGGCTAGGGTTTTCCCAATTCTGGTCACCCGACGGGGACCAGGGAGGGCAGAGGGAACAAGAAGGAGCTGACAGTGGCTAAAACCAGTCCTCCCTACGAACCTTAGGACAGTATCGGGGCTTTGTAGGCGTCTAGGGTTCAGTAGGACCTCTGCTCCACCCAGTCCAGATTGGTCCGTTTG